CTGAGCTGAACCCATCCAAACCATCTTGTTAATGTGGCTTACTGTAACCAGAGGCTTACCTGGCAACCTGATACATGGGCTTTTTGATGGCAGCCTATTGTCTCCACTAGGTCTCCTATCAACAGCAGTCATATGTATAATTTGTTTTACAAAATGTATATCTGGGGAGCTCTAAGAATGAATGAACGGTTTAGAAATTTTAAAAAGTCATGTTTGTTGTTTTTAACCAAATCCACCTTGATCAAATAACTGTATCAGGAGCTGTAATTAGTTTTAATGTGCACAGCAAATTACAAATGCACAATCAAAATGTGAAGAAAACCACTGAACCTTAAGGTTTCTAACATACTGTTTACATTTGTATATATTTCCTCTGTCTTTTCACAGGCATCCAGCAACTGCCAAGTGGTACGACAGGAGGGACGCTGTTTTTATAGAGTTCTGTGTAGCAGACAGCAAAGATGTTAAAGTCAATTTTGATAAAATAAAGTTTGGTTTCAGGTAAGTTTGTCTCATGCAGACAATATTAAGTTGTATTAACTCCTTGCTCGTTTCTTTGTTGTTGGTAAGTTAGGTGTCCTATTCAAGCTTCAGAAACAATAATCCTTAGGTTAACACAGAATCTGGGCTCTTGTTCATCACAACTGGTCCTGTAGCTCACGAAGCGTCTTCTCAACAGTTGTCAAACATGTCTGACTTTACTTTAGCCTAAATCAGGATGTGCTTCACTTTGGATGAGTTTGAGCAGTTGCAGCTTTAGTTTTATTTACTTTATTTTTAGTGTTATGATCTGTGAGTCACAGTAATATCGAGATTGTCAAAATCTTTGTCTTGTTTTTGGTTCACTGAGTGTTTGTTGTTTCATTCTCCCCAAAATCTATGTTCTCTTTCCTCCACAGTTGTCTTGGAGGAACTGACAATGTCAAACATGAGAATGAAATGGACCTTTTTGACGCCATTGATGAAAATGTACGTCACTGTTTGAATCATTGCTTTGATTAATGTTGCTTTATGATATTGTCAATATGTATTTACACAACACTGTGAATGAGATTGATCTGACACTGCTGTTGTCTTTCTTCCTCAATGTAGGAATCCAAACACAAATGCACAGGTCGCTCGGTGTTGTGCTATTTAAGAAAAGCGCAGCCGGGGAAGCCGTGGCCCAGGCTAACAAAAGACAAGGTTAAGGTACGCAGACAGTCATTAAATGTAATAGACAGTTTGTAGCATAAATATAAAATGCAAATGGATTCCAGAAAGATTCAGTTAGATTTGCATCAGATTTCTATGATGAGAGACACTGATATTGTTTCCACAGTTGAGTTGGCTCAGTGTCGACTTCAGCAACTGGAGAGACTGGGAGGACGACTCAGATGAGGAGATGGTCAACTCCAACCCACTCTCGGATGTAAGCACCTTGATAAATAGAGATTAATATCTGAACAGATGTTTCAGCTTCAGCATATTTGGTGAAAATTACGAACACACAAGGCTCAAAATGTCTTGTGTTAAAATGGGTGTGTGTGTGTGTATATA